ATATATATATATATATATATATAAATGGACGTGTTTGTGCCTATACGTCACTCTGCAGCCAAAACTACACATCGCACATGAATGGTGTTTGTGTGTGGTAGTAGCCCCAAGTCTCCCATCGTGCACTATGGTGGTTGCGTCTCGATAGCTATAAGGGTGTGAGAGATATGAGGGTTGAAAGTGGTTGATTTTGAAAATGTGTGACGCTTCAATGAGAATGTTCCAGAACTTAGAGGTGAAATTTGGTACACAGTTAGAGTACATCATGAAAATGCACACTAAGAAGGGATTTTTTGAAATTCCCCGCAGGAAGGAAGAGGGTAAGAACTAGCAAGGTTGAGGCCAAAGTTTTAAATGCGAAAATGTGTATGTCGGACGTTCAGCATCGCTTTCCTGTAAGCCTAGAAGTTTGACAATGGTGTTTGGATAGTCAGTGGAATCATGCTCGCCATTCCAAACACCATTGTCAAACTTCTAGGCTTACAGGAAAGCGGTGCTGAACATCCGACGTAAACGTTTTCGCGTTTAAAACTTCAGCCTAAACCTCGCTATTAAGGCTTAACCTGAAGAACAACTTCTACTGTACTATTTTAGATGCAATTTTTTTTGTTTTTAGTTATGTTTAGTCTTTATTGAGTACTTAGGGTATAAATTGATAACATTTCAGACATTGTTATAAATATTTTTTATATATTTTGATTTTTAACCAAATGTTTGAACCGTTTTAAATTCAAATTTCTTTTTGCATATTGGTTTGATTATACGTAAACGTTCCAGAAAATTTATCAAATTAAAAACAGTTAGTTTGATTCTCAGCAGTAGGTGTTAAATAACAATTATTATGGTTGTTGAAATATTGAATGTAAATAGGGTTTGCTTGCAAAATCCACACGAGCAAATCCGTGGGTAACAGCTAGTTATATATAAATTTTAAAATGATGAAAGGTTATATTGTTCCATAACTCCAATTACTGGAGTTAATCATAACATAATACAGAAATTTTAAAATTTTATATAATTTGTTTTGAGAAATGATTATTTAATACAGTGGTGTCCGAATTGAACACAAGTCATAGGTAGACAGGCGCACATATATTTTGTATATTTTAGGTATACAAAAAGTAGGCCTGTTTTTATCATTTACAATTGATGTGTCAAATATGTTAGTGCACTGGATTAACATACCACAGGTTACATTTAGCCCATGGGCCAATGATTTACATAGTATGTATTAGGTTGTTCAAAAAGTAATTTCGTTTTTTTTACCACTAGACGGATTAGTTGTATTTTTCCCGCCATTTTCATTCTAAACTGTATTATCATTATATATTTTGACAGCTAGCATTTTAAGGCTTATTTGTAAAAAATTTTGTTTGATTTTGTGCAATTGTTTATTTTTTGTGTCCCATCAAATATGGAAGATCAAAAGCAGCATTTTCGGCATATTTTGCTCTTTTATTACCGAAAAGGTAAGAATGC